CCAAATCCGATACCTGAGCCATATTTTGGAGCCAAATTCTGGCTCTCTGCACGTATTCGCAGTTTGAAATTCCGACTTTTTATACCGAAAATATGCCAATTACTGAAAGCGGCAGTGGGTCACATTTTGCCCAAACCCCCCTGCAGTTTTCAAAATATCCCAAACATCCCAAATCCGATACCTGAGCCATATTTTGGAGCCAAATTCTGGCTCTCTGCACGTATTCGCAGTTTGAAATTCCTACTTTTTATACCGAAAATATGCCAATTACTGAAAGCGGCGGTGGGTCACATTTTGCCCAAACCCCCCTGCAGTTTTCAAAATATCCCAAACATCCCAAATTCGATACCTGAGCCATATTTTGGACCCAAATTCTGGCTCTCTGCACCTATTCGCAGTTTGAAATTCCGACTTTTTATACCAAAAATATGCCAATTACTGAAAGCGGCGGTGGGTCACATTTTGCCCAAATCCCACTGCAGTTTTCAAAATATCCCAAACATCCCAAATTCGATACCTGAGCCATATTTTGGGCCCAAATTCTGGCTCTCTGCACCTATTCGCAGTTTGAAATTCCGACTTTTTATACCGAAAATATGCCAATTACTGAAAGCGGCGGTGGGTCAAATTTTGCCCCCCCCCCCTGCAGTTTTCAAAATATCCCAAACATCCAAAATCCGATACCTGAGCCATATTTTGGACCCAAATTCTGGCTCTCTGCACCTATTCCCAGTTTGAAATTCCTACTTTTTCTACCGAAAATATGCCAATTACTGAAAGCGGCGGTGGGTCACATTTTGGCCGAACCCCCCTGCAGTTTTCAAAATATCCTAAACATCCCAAATCCGATACCTGAGCCATATTTTGGACCCAAATTCTGGCTCTCTGCACCTATTCGCAGTTTGAAATTCCTACTTTTTATACCGAAAATATGCCAATTACTGAAAGCGGCGGTGGGTCACATTTTGCCCAAACCCCCCTGCAGCTTTCAAAACATCCCAAACATCCCAAATCCGATACCCGAGCCATATTTTGGAGCCAAATTCTGGCTCTCTGCACCTATTCGCAGTTTGAAATTCCTACTTTTTATACCGAAAATATGCCAATTACTGAAAGTGGCGGTGGGTCACATTTTGCCCAAACCCCCCTGCAGTTTTCAAAATATCCCAAACATCCCAAATCCGATACCTGAGCCATATTTTGGAGCCAAATTCTGGCTCTCTGCACCTATTCGCAGTTTGAAATTCCAACTTTTTATACCGAAAATATGCCAATTACTGAAAGTGGCAGTGGGTCACATTTTGCCCAAACCCCCCTGCAGTTTTCAAAATATTCCAAACATCCCAAATCCGATACCTGAGCCATATTTTGGACCCAAATTCTGGCTCTCTGCACCTATTCGCAGACTTTTTATACCGAAAATATGCCAATTACTGAAAGCGGCAGTGGGTCACATTTTGCCCAAACCCCCCTGCAGTTTTCAAAATATCCTAAACATCCCAAATCCTATACCTGAGCCATATTTTGGACCCAAATTCTGGCTCTCTGCACCTATTCGCAGTTTGAAATTCCTACTTTTTATACTGAAAATATGCCAATTACTGAATTACTGAAAGCGGCGGTGGGTCACATTTTGCCCAAACCCCACTGCAGTTTTCAAAATATCCCAAACATCCCAAATCCGATACCTGAGCCATATTTTGGACCCAAATTCTGGCTCTCTGCACCTATTCGCAGTTTGAAATTCCTACTTTTTATACCGAAAATATGCCAATTACTGAAAGTGGCGGTGGGTCACATTTTGCCCAAACCCCCCTGCAGCTTTCAAAATATCCCAAACATCCCAAATCCGATACCTGAGCCATATTTTGGAGCCAAATTCAGGCTCTCTGCACCTATTCGCAGTTTCAAATTCCAACTTTTTATACCGAAAATATGCCAATTACTGAAAGCGGCGGTGGGTCACATTTTGCCCAAACCCCACTGCAGTTTTCAAAATATCCCAAACATCCCAAATCCGATACCTGAGCCATATTTTGGACCCAAATTCTGGCTCTCTGCACCTATTCGCAGTTTGAAATTCCAACTTTTTATACCGAAAATATGCCAATTACTGAAAGCGGCGGTGGGTCACATTTTGCCCAAACCCCCCTGCAGTTTTCAAAATATCCCAAACATCCCAAATCCGATACCTGAGCCATATTTTGGAGCCAAATTCTGGCTCTCTGCACCTATTCGCAGTTTGAAATTCCTACTTTTTATACCGAAAATATGCCAATTACTGAACGCGGCAGTGGGTCACATTTTGTCCAAACCCCCCTGCAGTTTTCAAAATATCCCAAACATCCCAAATCCGATACCTGAGCCATATTTTGGAGCCAAATTCTGGCTCTCTGTACCTATTCCCAGTTTGAAATTCCTACTTTTTATACCGAAAATATGCCAATTACTGAAAGTGGCGATGGGTCACATTTTGCCCAAACCCCCCTGCAGTTTTCAAAATATCCCAAACATCCCAAATCCGATACCTGAGCCATATTTTGGACCCAAATTCTGGCTCTCTGCAACTATTCGCAGTTTGAAATTCCTACTTTTTATACCGAAAATATGCCAATTACTGAAAGCGGCAGTAGGTCACATTTTGCCCAAACCCCCTTGCAGTTTTCAAAATATCCCAAACATCCCAAATCAGGTACCTGAGCCAAATTTTGGACCCAAATTCTGGCTCTCTGCAACTATTCGCAGTTTGAAATTCCTACTTTTTATACCGAAAATATGCCAATTACTGAAAGCGGCGGTGGGTCACATTTTGCCCAAACCCCCCTGCAGTTATCAAAATATCCCAAACATCCCAAATCCGATACCTGAGCCATATTTTGGACCCAAATTCTGGCTCTCTGCATCTATTTGCAGTTTGAAATTCCAACTTTTTATACCGAAAATATGCCAATTACTGAATTACTGAAAGCGGCAGTGGGTCAGTTTGAAATTCCTACTTTTTATACCGAAAATATGCCAATTACTGAAAGCGGCGGTGGGTCACATTTTGCCCAAACCCCCCTGCAGTTATCAAAATATCCCAAACATCCCAAATCCGATACCTGAGCCATATTTTGGAGCCAAATTCTGGCTCTCTGCACCTATTCGCAGTTTGAAATTCCAACTTTTTATACCGAAAATATGCCAATTACTGAATGCAGCGGTGGGTCACATTTTGCCCAAACCCCATTGCAGTTTTCAAAATATCCCAAGCATCCCAAATCCAATACCTGAGCCATATTTTGGACCCAAATTCTGGCTCTCTGCACCTATTCGCAGTTTGAAATTCCAACTTTTTATACCGAAAATATGCCAATTACTGAAAGTGGCGGTGGGTCACATTTTGCCCAAACCCCCTTGCAGTTTTCAAAATATCCGAAACATCCCAAATCCAATACCTGAGCCATATTTTGGAGCCAAATTCTGGCTCTCTGCACCTATTCGCAGTTTGAAATTCCAACTTTTTATACCGAAAATATGCCAATTACTGAAAGTGGCGGTAGGTCACATTTTGCCCAAACCCCCTTGCAGTTTTCAAAATATCCTAAACATCCCAAATCCGATACCTGAGCCATATTTTGGACCCAAATTCTGGCTCTCTGCACCTATTCGCAGTTTGAAATTCCTACTTTTTATACCGAAAATATGCCAATTACTGAAAGTGGCGGTAGGTCACATTTTGCCCAAATCCCACTGCAGTTTTCAAAATATCCCAAACATCCCAAATCCGATACCTGAGCCATATTTTGGACCCAAATTCTGGCTCTCTGCACCTATTCCCAGTTTGAAATTCCAACTTTTTATACCGAAAATATGCCAATTACTGAAAGCGGCGGTGGGTCACATTTTGCCCCCCCCCCTGCAGTTTTCAAATTATCACAAACATCCCAAATCCAATACCTGAGTCATATTTTGAACCCAAATTCTGGCTCTCTGCACCTATTCGCAGTTTGAAATTCCTAATTTTAAACCTCAAATATGCCAATTACTGAAAGTGGCGGTGGGTCACATTTTGCCCAAACCCCCCTGCAGTTTTCAAAATATCCCAAACATCCCAAATCCGATACCCGAGCCATATTTTGGACCCAAATTCTGGCTCTCTGCACCTATTTGCAGTTTGAAATTCCTAGTTTTTATACCGAAAATATCCCAATAACTGAAAGTGGCGGTGGGTCACATTTTGCCCACACCCCGCCTGCAAATTTCAAAATATCCCAAACATCCAAAATCCAATACATGAGCCATATTTTGGAGCCAAATTCTGGCTCTCTGCACCTATTCGCAGTTTGAAATTCCAACTTTTTATACTGAAAATATGCCAATTACTGAAAGCGGCGGTGGGTCACATTTTGCCCACACCCCCCCCCCCCCCCCCCTGCAGTTTTCAAATTATCACAAACATCCCAAATCCAATACCTGAGCCATATTTTGGACCCAAATTCTGGCTCTCTGCACCTATTCACAGTTTGAAATTCCGACTTTTTATACCGAAAATATGCCAATTACTGAAAGTGGCGGTGGGTCACATTTTGCCCAAACCCCCCTGCAGTTTTCAAAATATCCCAAACATCCCAAATCCGATACCTGAGCCATATTTTGGACCCAAATTCTGGCTCTCTGCACCTATTTGCAGTTTGAAATTACTAGTTTTTATACCGAAAATATCCCAATTACTGAAAGTGGCGGTGGGTCACATTTTGCCCACACCCTGCCTGCAAATTTCAAAATATCCCAAACATCCAAAATCCGATACATGAGCCATATTTTGGAGCCAAATTCTGGCTCTCTGCACCTATTCGCAGTTTGAAATTCCAACTTTTTATACCGAAAATATGCCAATTACTGAAAGTGGCGGTGGGTCACATTTTGCACAAACCCCCCTGCAGTTTTCAAAATATCCCAAACATCCCAAATCCGATACCTGAGCCATATATTGGAGAAATATGAAAAAAAATACTATATAATAGTTTTACATTATAATTTTGTCGATAAAACTTAATACAGTACTGTAATTCCTTAAGAGCTAAAACTAGTTAAAGTATGTATTTTATTCAAAATATATATGAATCCCTGACAAAATATCAGCAAATGAACTAAGTTTAAGTTGATACCTTTCCTCAATGATGTCACTTGCTGATGACATCACTCAATTATGTGAAAATTGTGTCATTTGTTACACAAAGCTAGGCATGACAAACATGGGGCATCACAAGTTGACCACAGCTGCTCTACCACTGCTCCTGCAGAAGGTGCTACCATGGGTGGCAGCTGTAGGAGTAGACAGTTGGAAAGTGTAGCAAGGAACCTTCACCTTGCAAAGTGTCTGCAGCTCCTCTTGGAGATGCTACCACGGGCGGCGGCCATATGAGTAAAGGTAAACAGGCTGGACGGCGTAGAAAGGTGCCCTCACCTTGGGCAATGCCTGCATGGAAAAATAAATGTCAAAAATCCCTTTCATGCATTTCATAATTTTTGCAATTCTGTTTATTCTTATGATATATACTACAGTATATTGAAAACTATTGCACCTCGCTTTGTCATGACATTTTGCATGTATGGTTGTAAAAATAATTGAAAAAAATCATTACTATAAATTGTTTTAGATATTCAGCTGTGCAGGCAAATTAACATTTGTGAAAATATAACTTAAGAACTTAATTTGAACACCGTTTTGTTCTTAAGAATATAATTTTTTCTAGAATGGACCCTGTGGAGGCTGTCTGTTCCAGAGAACTACAAAAGAGGTCCACCAAGAAAATGTGTATTTCATTACAGTACATTCGATGCTGGAATTTTTTAATTTTGCATTCATATATGTTATGAAAACATTGTATTTCTTGGGTCCAGATATTTTAATTGTCAAATTGTAAGAGTTCAACTCATATAAAATATGCAAATTATGTTGATATATCCTGACCTGTCACCTTTGTTGACCCCAATACTTTCTCAAGATGATCTTTGGCGCCTTCTGCTTTACCGGCTGGCGAGTATGTTGTGTGTGTGTGTAGAGTTAGTATGTTTACATTAATGTACATAATATTTGTGGCAGTTAAATGACACTGTATTAGCTGTTTATATCCTCGAATAGGAATAATTACCAATATTAAGAGACTCAATGAAAATTACAATTGTGCCATTGCAACAATGATGAAACTCTGTACAGCAATGTGGTCATTATTAACACTAGAACTGCTGACACAGTTCAACACATTAAATACCAAAAGGGGTACCATTGAAAATACAGATCAGAGAAATAAGAAAAAGAAAGGGAAAAAATATTGTTGACATAAGAAGAACTACAGGATAGTCAGATGGTAATGATTAAACAGCTTAAGGACTTTCAACATTTAAAAAGCAACAATCGTCTAGGTGTGATTCCAATGGTCAACCAGGAGAACCACTGAGGGTAATCACTTGGATAAAACACATTGAATGCAAGCAGAGTTAAGGATAGGGATTTAGACATTCTGGATAGAGATTTGGAAGCTTTGGATGATAAAAAAAAACTCATTACTGTATAAGAAACCTTGATATAGCTATATCACCTCATTACATTAATGAAAAAGCATTAAAAATAAGTCTACGTACATCAAAGCAAAATATTCAATAACAAAGCTGGAAACGATTATCCACCACTATTTTAGAATGTCATTAACACTTAGTGCAGTTATCTTAATCAAATATGCAATAGCAATATTTAAACCATTAAAACTAGTTACAAAATTTTTTTGGCTACTGAAATCTACATTGTCAAAAACATTAAGATACAGACATCAAATTTGCACAATAGACAAAACTTAATGTACAGGGTGATTTGAGAATTTGCCACCCATCTCTCTTTTTTTAGCAATTTTAGAGGTAAAAAAAAATAATTTAGAATGGCAATACAGCACATTTGGATTCTGCACCCCTAATATGTCTTAAAACAAATGTATGCCAATTTCTATTACTGTAACATATGCCTTACAAGCATTTTATGCCTCATTTTATCTGTAAAAATCACTCGATAAAAATAATAATGTATATGTTATAGGGAAAGAAGGGACAACTGAACTGACTGAAAAAGTTCATAAATTAAGTAGACTGATACACTGAAAGCCTGAGGAAACTGGACAGTGCTACACTAATGCAACAAGTACCCTGGCTTTGTGCCCGGGAGAGGCCACTCCAGGCAGACAACCAGAGCACAACTTCATAGTCTCCTATGACTGATGGATACCTAGTGTGCACCAGCCAAATAAACATTGAGGAAGTCCAGGAAGTGAAGCTCAATCATGCAACTATGGATACGCCAGGCGAGATATGCAAATACACACACATACATTGGATGATTAATGATCGAGAGACAGGACCCAGGAGCTAGAGCATAATTCCTGCAAGCACAGAGGAGTACTCACACACACTCATTACAAACTCACCTTCACTCTGAGTCCTCCTTGGGAGAGTGGGTAGGTCGACTTAGTTGAATAACTCTGGTTGGTTGAGTAACTTTGATTAGTCTGGTTTGTCTGGTAGGTCAGATTAACTGGAGAGGTTGGATTAGTCGGATTGGTTGGCTTAGTTGGGTAGGTTTTATCTGAATAGGTCTGGGAATTTGGCTTAGCCAAGTTAACCTGGTAGGACGGGTAAATTGGTTTGGTTGGATTTGACTGGTAGGTTGTGACGCCTTTCTGGAATCCAGATGTGAACTTGTTCTTCAGGTTTGCCTTGGCTGCCTCGAACTTGGCAATGGCACCAACTACTGCCGCTGCCTTAGCTTGTGCAATGCCCTCCACCTTAGCTTTGATGCCCTCTACTTTAGCTTGAATGCTGGCGAAGGGGTTCTGAAAGCGATGGAAGAACGTGGGAGATGAGGGGAAGCGGCAATGGTAGGAATGATGCCCTTCCGCTCATTCACCCCTTGTCCAAGCTGAAGCTGAAAGCTATATAGTAGGAGAAAATGCTTAATGATGCAAGCTGTATTTGCGGGAGAAAATGAAAGTTGAAAGCCATGTTTTAGGAGAAAATTTTTAAAGCTCAAGGCAGAAGCAACGCTGAAGGAATAAATGCTTGAAGATAAGGCTGGAAGCTAAGTTGGAACAATTTAAGCTAAAGCTAAAAAGATAAGTTGAGGAAGAGAATTTACTAGAAGCAAGCCTGAATGCAAAGCTTGAGGCAGAGTAGATACTTGAAGCTCAGTCTGGAAGTTAGGTTTTGAGAGAAAGAAAAAAAAATATAGGGACAGACTTAAAAGCTGAATAATGTACATAACGGCACATTAAAACATTAGGGAATTGGAACAGAGCCACCAAGCGAGAATTTACATCTATAGATATATGTATGGCCCCCAAACCACACACGTTAACAACATAACCCTGGTTTGTGAAAACTAAATGTAACTGGGTTATGGACAATTCATAAGCCTGGCTAGGTGAACACTAACAATAAGCACTCAGGAGCTCTCTTTTCTGATTATGGAAACAGGTTTCATAATATTCCCTTTTTGCTGAGTAGTGATGCACCAGATACTTGATAACATAAATTGAGGAAGACAATTACAGTCAAACCATATGGATATGATTATGTGCATATTTCCTGAGGTAAGAGGCAAGTGCTTAGCCCTTTCGGCTATTTGCTGCATCTTTTGTAGCCATAGATTTGAAATGGTACAAAAGTGGCCTTTTCCCTTAATAACTTTTTCACACCGCTTTCCAAGTGGATTGAATTTCCTGCCTACAACAAGAATTTCATGTGGCTGTTGATAGAGGAACTGCTAGCACATGAATAGTGCACTTGTTGTCAATAAATGGTGATGGTTTCTTCACAAACATACAAAAGAAAACTGAACATGAAAGACAAATCAAAAGACTGAAAATGGGAGACAGAATCAGACAAACATGTGAAATACTAAACAAATGGTTCCAAGATGTGTTTGTGCAAAATGAGGTTTCCAGAGAACAGGGCAAATAATATTTTGATGCACAAAATAAGAGTACCTGGAAAGAAACACTATAATATCAGAAAGGAAGTATGTTTTTACATGGGAAGGTCCTGCATAATAAATCATCTAAGCTTTTACATAGAGATCCGTAGAGATCTTGTAAGAAGGGGCACAAAAAAAAAACACACACACACACACACGGACAAAATTCTGGACACATGGACTGTTCTTGAAATAAGAACATATGACAACAAACTACTTAGATTTTTCCCTAACTATATATAGGTACATGTTGTTGCATAGCGAGTGACCCATATTGCTCATCTAGTATTGTCAATATTTATTAAAGAGCTTGTACAGTACAATCTTCTAGTGGCCAATTGTGGGTCAGAAAAAGACTCACTGCTGTTCACCATTGTTTTCAAGGGACAACCCAGCCTTGCCAGCTCCACCGACAGATCCCATGGATGACTTTGGGAGTCTAAAACAAAGATTGGCAGACAGAGATTACGTTACTAGGGATAAGGATATCAAGAGGGCACAAAACTCTGGTGTAAATGAGATTTTTTTATACTACAGTACTGACACAAACTAATCGACATTCATATATACAGCACCTGTATATATGTTTTGGATCAGTAACATTATGTGCAGCTTGTCTCAAAAAGTGCTTCCCTTTCTATCTTCAAAGTTCCTCATTAAATGATTCAATCATATTCTTAAAATATAAATAATTGCAAACACTTTCCCAACTGGCATGTTCGTAGTTCAGTAGTTACATTTAAAGTTTTTGCAATAGTGTTCCATCACACGGTTGCCATCTACTGTTTTGGAAACAGAAAGCTAATTCTTAAGACCACAGAGTTTTAGGGGGACCCCAGGGGATACAGGTTGACCACCTGGAGCTCAGGAGGATCATGGTAGTAATAATGTTACAGTATAATCATTTTGACTCTGTTATGAAGACGTACACTGAGCAAAACTGTTTAGTAGTTGAGCTCACAACTCATAACTCTTGTATGCATGTTATGTGCTCGCTCTCCCACAGCTCATTTAATGCTGTACCTTACTTACATTTCCCAGAATACTATCCTTTAATAATTTTACAGATCCCTAGTTATTGCTGAGTACGCAGAGGCAAACACTAAATATTTACCAACTCTCACCCTGTTCAGGACTTGTTACAAGGGTTTATGATCACACCACTAAAAAACCCATCAACAAAAGTGATAAAAGGCATCATATATTGAAGTACAGTACAGTATTTGTCTAGCTCTTAAATACAATATTAATAATAACAACAATAATGTGAGACCTATTATGAGAAAAATCCATTATCCACAGAAAATGTAGTCATACTCACAAAAGTGGGACGGTAGACTGGCTCAACAGGGTAGAGTGCCAGAGAGTAGATGGGTTTAGAGTAGACAGGCTGTGGATATGGAGGGTAGATAGGGTATGTGCTGACCGGAAGAGGAACCGGTGTCACTGGTGTCACAGCCCCTCCGCCAACTTCTACCAGCCCGTCACTAGAACCACTCCCAAGATTTCCTTGATACTCTCCACCGCTGTAACTTCCCTGGTATTGTCCACTGCCAAGGTTTCCCTGGTATTGTCCACTGCCAAGGTTTCCCTGGTATTGTCCACTGCCAAGGTTTCCTTGATATTCTCCAGCACCATAACTTCCCTGGTACTGTCCACTGCCATAGCTTCCCTGGTACTGTCCACTGCCATAGCTTCCCTGGTACTTTCCACCATCATTGTCCTCTTGGTACTGCCCAACGCCATAGGTCTCACCATCATCATTCTCGTAACTGTCTTGGTTAGAACTCGTGCCAGACTTGAGGCTGCTGAAAGCGGCACTCTTGGCTGCGACGGCACTGGTGATGCCTGCCACAGTACAACACCAACATTTGTTATTGCAACAATCGAGAAGTAAACTTACTGCTCATTTTTAATACAGTACGATTTTGATTTGATTTGGGGAACTGCTTTTGTCTATGCTGTATAGAATCAAACCATGTACACTGTGCAACACAATGAACTAGATTGTTGTAAAATGCTCTAAATTTACTAATTTAAATTAAATAAATTAACTAAAAGTGTAAGAACAATATAAAATAATATAAAAGGAGACCATACAAACAGATTTAACTACCCTGGAACCTTACCTTCCTTACATGGTAATTACTTTCTACTCACTGCCATTATGTACATTTTGCTCCATTTTTATTATCATAAAGTGTTTATACAAAACAAAGATCATTATGAATATACATTTACTTGAACCGAAAGAGCAGCCTGATCAAAAGAGCTACGATTACAGCGGAAAACGTACAGTATAGTAAAATAATAAAATACTCATGTGATTGAATCACTAGAAGCTACACCTGCTTGATACAGAAGACGAACCTCTCACCCCAACTCCCTCTTTAACTTACATGCTGTGAATGAAAATACTGATTACATTTCTAATGCAATAATCAACACTAGTTATGGTCATCTACTGTATTAATGAGGATGTGCTCACCAGGCAAAGTTGATTTGCCCTCTGCACTTACCCGACACGAAGGACTCCTTGGCATTCTTGAAGCCCTGTGCCACGGCAGCCTTGGCACCCAGCACCCCACCGAGCACAGCAAATTTGGAGTTCCTCAAACTGGAGAGGAACCCTTCTGGACGTGATTCCGTGTCATCGCTTGTGTCCACGTATGTCTCATCATATTCCCCACCAATGTTGGTAGATACCCCAGGGTTGATGCCAATACCTGGGCCAAGGGAACCAGGTGAACTGGATGAAATACTTTACACAGTTTTACTTCAGTGTGTGACATGGTTGAACAATTTTTGCTTAGAAACTGTATATACTGTATGTATGTATGATGTGTATACAGTATATATATTATAATATAATGTAATAGAATGTTGTACCTAACAGCCAGTATGAACTACTTGGCCTAGTATGCAAGGTGATTTGCCTAACAGGCTGAATGATTTTCATTATTTTCAAATACTGTATTTCTTTCCAGATTAGTTTTTCTAACAATAATAATCTATTCAGTATATTAAGAACATAAATTACCGACCAAGTTATGTTAGGTTAAGTTAGGATCGGCCAAGTTTGATCAAATTTCTGTTAGTTTGGACTCAAATATAAAATTGCAATCATATATAATACAATGAAAACTTTATAATTTTAAAATAAAACAACGACGCTCAGAAGATTAAGTTCTCTCTTAAGTATCTTTGTGGTTCAAGCGTCATTGATTAAGTTACTGAAATTAATGGTCAAATTGGTATAAAAATGCTTAGGCCAGTTCATCTTAACCCTTGCACAGAAGCAAAGGATCCAGAGTTTCTTTGTTGAAGGTCAACATTCTTCCAAATGGATAACTAAAACTGGAACTGAACTCAAGAATGCATCAGATTTATAATTTATACCAAGAGACAACAACGGCCCTTTCCTGCACCTGTGGGAGATTACACCCTTTCCCATATTAATCCCTCCCTTTCCACCCAAGAAGCAAATTAGAGGTCAGGCCAAGCAGGTATTTCCCTATCTGCCTTAAGGGGGCATACAGTACTGTATCTGCAAAATATACAATAAATGAAAACTTGTTCGATTTCAATAAAACTTTTTTGACTAGTTGTATATCAAATTGGCTTCAACTGGTCCAAGTCTCAGCATCGTAGCATAAATAGGAAGGGAGAAAAAAATATTTAATTATGTGTCAAAAAATTGCCAAAAAGTTTAAAAATTAACATCAAGCGCAAGTGTCAACTGAAATCATGTCTGACTCTCAGCTATCACAATAGCATATAACAACAAAAATAAAAAATTAGTTTAAAAAAAAAAAATAAAAAAAAAACTTTTTTGTTTTTTCTCATTTGTTTATCATGCGATTTGCATGAAACTTATACACCTGACTGCAGGTAATTCTTTTCTGTAAGGGTGTCAATTTTAGAGGAAATTGGTTGATGTCAACCTCAGCCACAGATGGCAGCACCTTAGATTTCATTTCTTCATTACTTTCTTTCAAGGAACAAACGTAACTACTACTACTCATTTTTTACTCAATTTACATGAACCTTACACTTTATATGTAGAGTTTACGTCTCTACAATCTGTAAGAAGCATTTTTTCCTAAGTTCATTTATTGATTTTATTAGTAGTAATAAACATGATATATTTGCATTATGTTTGGGGGGAACTTTGACTATTTGTATTAGTCAAACTAAACATATTTTGGAAAATCCAGTAATACAAATCCTTTATTATATGCTAATGGGATAGAATAGGGTCACAAATTATTTAATTTGAAACTTGTTGTAGTAAATTGTTGAAAATGTGTAAAATTCTATGAAAAAAATATTTCTCCTTTTCTATTTAGGCTGCGATATGGAAACGTTGAACAGTTGCAGCCCTTTTCATATACAACCAGTAAAAAAAAAAGTTTGGTTGACATTGAACAATTTTTAATATTCACAGATATGCTTCCTTAAATTCAACTGCTGCTCCTTTCCACATCTCACGGGTTACTACGGGCTCACCATAGCCCGTGCTACTTGGAACTTTTTGTTCCGGGTAGCGAATCTTAAACAACATCCACATCTCACCTCCGACAGCCACAGGGGAGTTGTCCAAGCTAGCGAATGACTCCTGGGGCGGGGGTCCGTAGAGGCCGGTCGGGGCCTGGCCTGGGGAGGGTGCTGCCACCGGGGTGAAGACCGGGGGGACATACACCCCTCCAGGTGCCACCCCAGGTACTCCTCCAGGCACCCCAGTTGGCTCAATGGGCAACGGCGTCTGGAAGAAATGGATGGTCACTGAGGCTACTGTTGCTTACATAAGATTACTTGCTAGGGGGTCACAATGTGTGATGACCGAACCCATACATCACAAAATGAAGAAAAGACCATGTTTCGGTCCATTGTGGACCAATTATTAAGTCATGTGACTTGATAATGGTCGCACGGCTATATATGGTCATCATATCTTCACCCAGGTTACTGTGGCTCATCGTTTGCAACATTAAGTACTTTCTCTTGGTGCTGCTACACTTCCTATCTTTTTATTTATGTATTTATATACAAGAAGGTACATTAGGGGTTAAGAGAGTACAAAGTAATAATGATGCTTTTACATTCTTATAAAGCCACTAGCACGCATAGCGTTTCTGGCAAGTCCTTATATCTAGCAGATAATTTTAAGAAGATAATTTCCAGAAAATTTCCCTGTAATTTTCAGCAATTTCCCTGTATCTCAACACAGGGAACAAAAGGAAGGTTTCCCTCCTGCTCTTCTCTTCCTCTGACTTTAATTGCCAAAATGTAAAAAGGCACCTCCATAGAATAGTGTCTTTTTCATTTAATCACTTCATCTCTCCGTCTTTCATATGAATCTTTTCTACATTTGGAAAGACAATCAAACATTTGTATGTAAACAAATTCTACCATACAATGGACTTGCAATTTCCACATAACTATGCTGTATAATGGGGAGGGCAGCAGTGCGTACCTGGGGAGGGCAGCAGTGTGTACCTGGGGAGGGCAGCAGTGTGTACCTGGGGAGGGCAGCAGTGTGTACCTGGGGAGGGCAGCAGTGTGTACCTGGGGAGGGCAGCAGTGTGTACCTGGGGAGGGCAGCAGTGTGTACCTGGGGAGGGCAGCAGTGTGTACCTGGGGAGGGCAGCAGTGTGTACCTGGGGAGGGCAGCAGTGTGTACCTGGGGTGGGCAGCAGTGTGTACCTGGGGAGGGCAGCAGTGTGTACCTGGGGAGGGCAGCAGTGTGTACCTGGGGAGGGCAGCAGTGTGTACCTGGGGAGGGCAGCAGTGTGTACCTGGGGAGGGCACAAGTGTGTACCTGGGGAGGGCACAAGTGTGTACCTGGGGAGGGCACAAGTGTGTACCTGGGGAGGGCACAAGTGTGTACCTGGGGAGGGCACAAGTGTGTACCTGGGGAGGGCACAAGTGTGTACCTGGGGAGGGCACAAGTGTGTACCTGGGGAGGGCACAAGTGTGTACCTGGGGAGGGCAGCAGTGTGTACCTGGGGAGGGCAGCAGTGTGTACCTGGGGAGGGCAGTAGTGTGTACCTGGGGAGGGCAGCAGTGTGTACCTGGGGAGGGCAGCAGTGTGTACCTGGGGAGGGCAGCAGTGTGTACCTGGGGAGGGCAGCAGTGTGTACCTGGGGAGGGCACAAGTGTGTACCTGGGGAGGGCACAAGTGTGTACCTGGGGAGGGCACAAGTGTGTACCTGGGGAGGGCACAAGTGTGTACCTGGGGAGGGCACAAGTGTGTACCTGGGGAGGGCACAAGTGTGTACCTGGGGAGGGCACAAGTGTGTACCTGGGGAGGGCACAAGTGTGTACCTGGGGAGGGCACAAGTGTGTACCTGGGGAGGGCAGCAGTGTGTACCTGGGGAGGGCAGCAGTGTGTACCTGGGGAGGGCAGTAGTGTGTACCTGGGGAGGGCAGCAGTGTGTACCTGGGGAGGGCAGCAGTGTGTACCTGGGGAGGGCAGTAGTGTGTACCTGGGGAGGGCAGCAGTGTGTACCTGGGGAGGGCAGTAGTGTACACGAGGAAAGAAGCGGTGTACCTGGAGAATGAGACAGTGAACCTGACAGGGAGGGAAGGAGTGTGCCTTAGGGAAGCCTGGAGTGTACTTGACACATACCTGTACCGGAGGCAGGTAGCTGATTGGAGGAGGCGGCGGGGGATCATTTTTAACACGTAATCTCGCCTCACTGTCACCCAGAACCAGAGAACTGCAATAATAATAATAAATAATAATAACAACAACAAAACACAAACTATAATGTTCTTATTTATTGCAAAGGAATGTGTCAACATGCGGAATGTCTTCAAAACAAATAATGCCGTCACCACTCCTTTAACTTTGATGATTAGGCTAATTGAATTGAGAGGAGATTAGTCAACTAATACCAAGTGCTTTGGAGATTCCATATTTTAATACTTACTGGATGAATGGAATTCCTTCTGCATTTATTTAATGAATTACAAGAGGAATATATTTACTCAAAAATATTCATAAGATCACAGGTGATGTTTAAAGCAATTCAAGATCTAAGACAGAATTAAGGGCAAAAATATGTATAAAATAATTAACAGAACTTTATATAATGCAAAAAATAGATTAATCCCTAAGATAGAGACAGCCTATCCTTAAGAGGCATGGATAATGGACTACAAATTGTACAGGGAACTCGGACAAATACCTTTATGCTGCTTCAAAACCTGTGTTTGTGGCCTCCTGGTTAGCCACCCACATTGCTCAAGCACCCCCAAGATCACAGACCATATTTTAGTCTCGTAAAGTGGAGTCCTGGTTCCACCTCTCAGGCTCTCCTGCTCTTGAAAACTCCGCCACTCACTAGGACTATATCCAATCAATTTGAACTAGACATAAGCCCTGGCACTCTCAGCCAACGAGGAAGTTTTAAAACCAAAGAGGTGGAGTCTTCTCAGGAAACCTGGGCATCTGCCCCAGCAGAGAGTTAAGTTTAGTTCATTTATTATGCCCCCCCCCCCCCCATACCCATCTTGTGGGCTGTAGTGGAAAGGGTTACAGAGGAACATAATGGGGCTCAGGGACTGAACCAGCCGAGAACCATGAGAAAACCTGTGACCGGATACTGTAATTAGGAACGGTAATAAACTGCCCTCGCCGTATCCGTGGGTGGACAGGGCATGTAGGGAAGGGAAGAAGGGTTAGAAGGGAAAGCAAGGGAGGAAGAGAGGGAAAGACCAGGTTATCTCCCACCGCCACTTCAGTGCCTCACCTTGTGGGGGGCGTGTGACCCTCCTGGCCCAGCTCCCCTCTGGTGATGACCTCTATGTTACCCAGCTTCTCCGCCGCCGCCACCGTCACCAGCACCACCAGCACCGCCACCCACGACCTCATCCTGTAGGGGTGGAGGGAGGGGGATTATGAATTGTGAGGATAGTGAGATAATATGGGGGTCTCATCAGGCAAATGGGGGAGATATGGAAACTGGACTGTATAGCAAGCTAGCCAATTGTCATCGTCCCACCTGTATGTGTACAAACGTGTTTTACAAATATTCTCAAAAAGCTCAAAGGTTTAAGCTCAAAAAGTGTAGCGACCTGCTTATCAGAACAATTAGATGACCTGCCTGTCGCTACAACACGGTTGTAGCGACAAGTAAGCTCATGTGATAGATAATATTCACGCGGACACTGAACCAGGAAGAGGCTGTGGGCGAGTTTATTAGGCATCGACATTCACAAACATTTCGTCATAACAGCTACATATAGTGTACAAGATCATCCTCTAGGAAAAAAACTACGCTGGGTTGTTCATCCTATCATTTGTACACAGGTGCAGCTGAGTCAACTGTCCCCAGCGAACAAATTGTCAAACTGAGATATTAAAATCTGCCAAACCTCAACCATACGATATTTTTGCAGACACAAAGTAAGAGATTTTACGACATCTACATTTGACAAAAACAAACTTTCTAACCCAAATGAGAGACTTATGCTGCCAATTCCAAGTCTAACGTACATAAAATAATGTACTACATTGCCCTAACCTAACCGATAACCTATGCATAGAAAACGTGACCTTTTGCAAGCCGCGATAATGTAAAAAAAAAAATTATATTTTGTCCGTTGGGGATTTTGACGACAAAATTCTATGTATTATTCAAGAGGACGGGTTATGGTTCACACAGTGTATTTGGGAAGTTCCTTACGTGAGGGCGGTGTTTTTGGTAATGATTTAGCATCAGTTACCTCGTGTCGCAGACTCCAACTCCTCTGGTCACCTGTCGTTTCAAATCCTGAGCCTCAAGGGTCACTTTATTTTATCTAAATTGTTGATTTCTTGTTAAGAAATTGATCCAACCACTTGGGCTGGAGTGACGGTCTCGCATCATGCAGGTCGGCGTTCAATCCCTGACCGTCCAAGTGGTTAGGCACCATTCCTTCCCCCCCGTCCCATCCCAAATCCTTATCCTGATCCCTTCCAAGTGCTATATAGTCGTAATGGCTGTGCGCTTTCCCCTGATAGTTCCATTCCATTCCATTCCATTGTTAAGATTCTCTCCCTCGCCCACTACCTTGCCCATGATGGTTGTTGTCCGCTGTGATTGAGGGGTTTCCACGTATACACCTCCTTCACAGTTTCACTTTGTATAGCAAACTAAAGATTTATTGGTTGCTGAAGCATGGCGAAAGGTTTGTGTTGGAAGGCTATTATTAAGGCCACCATATGAACAAACTGACCAACAAGCAAGTATACTTTACTCTACAACAAAGTTAAAGACAACTCAAACTCTCAGTGTAGCCCATGTAGCACTACTATACAGAAGTACACATCTCTGTTTAGGCCTATACACGAAGAACAAAAATAACAGTACAATGGAATAGCTGACCAAAGTTGATTCAGTGGTATCAATAGTAAATGTCCACATATTTATATTTGATATAAATCTTACCAGAAAATTCTACAACGATAGGCTACTTCGGTACCGCAATAAAAAAATAAATAAATAAATAAAGTTAAACGTAGTGTGTGTGTCATGTTGGCCGTTCCATTACTCCAGTATATAGTAATTATCTTTCCCCTGCCTCCTCCTCCCTCCCACTACCTTTTATTCTGGTCTTCCGCGGCGGGAATCAAACAAAGCCTAACTTTTGGCGCAAACCGTAAATTTATCTTCAGCTATTACGATAAATTATCGGGGAGGTTCCTGATAATGACCTTCCCAGGTGGCCAAATGTCTCCGTAAGAGTCCAGACGTATTGGTGGTGGAAAGGTGACCCTGGAAGTAACCCTGGTGGAAAGGGTTACAGAGGCACATCATCGGTTCAGGAGATGAAGCCCATAGTTCGTGTAGCTAGGCAAGTGACAATCTTTTGAAGCTAGTTACACAAATGTTAATGTTACATACACGTTTACATATATACAATCATTTACACAAATACATATCACTAATCTTTTTACATCAGAAGTGGTTCTAGAAGAGGCTTACAACTGTATACATCTATGGCGAGTCACGCAGTTACTAGTCTAGCTCCACACCCACCCAACTGGGCGGCAGCTGCCGAGCAAAAAAAATGGCACACTAGATGCTCAGATTAGTCGCCTAAGAAAATCTGAAAACAGGTTGAAGGTATTTCGACCCTGAGGCCTCTAAACTCCAGGTATAAATAACTTCATAAATCATCGCTGTATCCAAATAGCCTATCGTCAGCATTACGATGCAGTAACAATCACTATTAACAGTGCTACTCATAACAACCTTCCTAAATTTGTTACGACCAAGACGTGTAACTACCTAAAGGAGCACATGTTCTAAAGGAATACATGTTTCATAATACCTATGAACTAAGGTTGGCAACAATGTGCGGGTCGACCAGATTGGCGGGAAAACCCGGCTGTAAAAAAAGGAGCATCTCCCTATGTTGGCCTCCCAGCGACTGACAGCGTCTTCAGCTTTAAACAATCCAAATATTCTGCATAATAAAGTCGTTGTAGTATTCAAACATGTATTAAATGATAGCTGATTAAAAAAAAATTTCGGAGCACATGGTTGCCATTGTGAATTTCTTTGAGTATGGCAACTGTTCGTTCTTCCTGGTAAACCTGACCAACTCTTCTTGTAATGGTGTCTGTTGCTCCGGTATGAAACACGTGACGTCTCACTATCTTAAAGATCAGGTTTCCATGTGAATTTAGTCTAAAACGTCGCCATCACACTACTAAATTAGCAGATATAAAAAAATATATATATAATTTTTGTACATAGTTTTTTTTAACCTTTCTCCACTTCTTTATGCATCTTGTTCAGGGCCGCCGCCGCCTCCTACTCCTCCTCCCTCCTTTAGTCCTTTCTCTCCTTCCGCTTCCTCCTCCTCCTCCTCCTCCTCCTCCTCCCGCTTCCTCCTCCTCCTCCTCCTTCCGCTTCACCCTCCTCCCGCTTCCGCTTCCCTCCTCCTCCTCCTCCTCCCGCTTCCCCCTCCTCCTCCTCCCGCTTCCCCCTCCTCCTCCTCCCGCTTCCCCCTCCTCCTCCCATTCTACCCATAAAGTATCAGAGATAAGTATTAGTGGCTTTAGGCATAGTACTTGCCTTACCTATACATTACTGCATTCTTCTTGTATTCACCTAGTTGTGCTTGCGGGGGGTTGAGCTCTGGCTCTTTCGGCCCGCCTCTGTCAATCAACAATTGATTAGTTACTTAAGCCTGCGCAACTGTCAATCAAGTGATCCCCCACCCCCCAGGAAGCAGCCCGTAGCAGCTGTCTAACTCCCAGGCATCTATTTACTGCTAAGTGAACAGGAGCATCAGGATGAAAGAAACTCTGCCCATTTGTTTCCGCCATCGCCGGGGATCGATCCCCGTACCCTAGGATTACGAGACCCGAGCGCTGTTTGCTCAACCGTCAGTCCCCATAGCTGTATCCTATACTCTTGTACCCTATGTATCACATATGTACTTCTGCTTAAATAAAAAGTATTATTATTACTAAGTGTTCAGGAACTGCTCCTACCAGACAGTCTGTGGTCTCTTACAACCGGTCCGGCAGGTCCGTCTGCCTATGGTCTCCGACCCCACTCAACCCCCCCACCCACCCACGTAAGATCTATACATACACTAAATAATAAGGTAAATATCATTACTCCGGCTACAGGTACAACCAGAACACATGGACTGAATTTTTAAACTAGGAATAGAAGCTGGGGGGGGGGGGGGGATTATGGGAAGATTGGTTGTGAAGAATAGTGGAATAGTGGTTGTGGAATAGTGGTTGCATCCAGAAGTGTGTTGTAGGGTGGAGAGTGAGAACAGATAAGGATTCATTCATTAATAATTATTCGGGAACGTGCATTGTTATTGACACTGTACAAATAACTGCCCATTTAACGATCAGGTTAGCTTTATAATCTCCAGTGGAAGAGTCAAACATGTACGTCTATGGAGGGAAGGAAGCCCTAGCTGTGCCCCGGAACACCACATGAGGATTATCAGGGAGGATAGGACACTTAGTCTATCTACTATCCTTTACCAAGAACAAAGGCTCCACATGCTCTTGGGTTGTCGGAGTGCGCGGATCCCGGAAAGCTGCTGTTCCGAGTGGGAATAAGTCCCACTCGGACACACTCAAAGCCCAAACATCCTCCTACTCCTCCACTGGCAATGCCACTGAATGCTTCGTAAACTGAAACAACATTAGGTACTCGTTGCTACCTTCGCGCACTTTCTCGGCTCCATCACAGTGCGTTGTTAGTGAAGCTGGAACGATGAAAGAGAAGGGGGGGGGGGAGGAGAGGGATGAGGGAAGCCGCGGAGGAGAAAGTAGTCTCTTCCCCATACATTGAGAGTCTGGCCAGGTACGACCACCCACCTACCCGCCAGCCCAAGTTCAAGGGCAACCCACAGGCAAAGGTAGTGGGGAGTAAGATAGGTAGTGGGTCCACCAGCACAGGTAGTGGGAACAGGTGGTAAGGGAGAGTATCACTGACGCTCATGTAAGGTAACTAGAGGGGTAATAAGAATCATTAACACAGGTAGTGGGTATATACAAGACAGGCAGCCAGCACCAGTCTGGGAACACAGGTAATGGGGCTCAGGGCAGAGGCAAAGTAATGTAATTATCAAAAGGCACCACACTGGGAAGGCGGGAAGAGGCAAGTCTCTCTCCTTTCACGGTTATTCCAGTTATAGCTCCCTACACAAAACAATACAGGAAAATAAATTGTCATTGCGAGATCTCGCGTTATTTGGTGTTTTTCATTACATGTCCTTATCATCAACGTGCACCGTTGATGATGTCCTCACCATTAACGATGCACTCATTTTCCACTCCGCGTGTTCCGCCTTTTCTCATCTACTCTCATTATCTGAGTCACGCGCGCGCAGGAATTCAGGAACCTGC